GGTCCATCCAGTCCAGCATCCTGTCTCACACAGGGGCCAACCAGTTCCTCTGGAGGGCCAACAACAGGGCAGAGAGGCCGAGGCCTTCCCCTGACAAAGAACCTAAGAACAGCCCTGCTGGATCAGACCAGGAGGGTCCATGCAGTCCAGCCTCCTGTCTCTCACAGTGGCCAGCCGGTTCCTCAAGAGGTTCAACAACAGGGCAGAGAGGCCGAGGCTTTCCCCTGATGTTGCCTCCTGGCTCTGGGAATCAGAGGATTAGTGTCTTTGAATGTGGAGGTTCACCTCTGTCACCAGCTAGTACATACAATCAATCACTCTAATCCCCCTTTAAAGCTACTTATTTCTGTGGCCACCACTACATGCTCCGGCAGCTGATTCCACATTTTAATCACTCCCAGTGTAAAGCAGTATTTCCTTCTGTCCATCCACGTGGGGCACCAAACCCACATAAGCCAAGGTTACCATGTAGGGTTCCGCAAACCAGGAGGAACCCCAGGATCGCAGAAAGATCTTGGCTTAAAATAACAACTGGGGTAAAAAGAAAACAAACCAGCCAGAGAGTTAAAAGTGACATCTGTTCAGACAACGTTTTGGGTTGTTATAGTAGCCCAAGCCCTGACCTGGCTAATCCAGCTTAGCCTGCTCTTGTTAGATCTTGGAAGCGACGCGGGGTCGGCCCCGGTTACTACTTGGATGGGAGACCACCAATGAAGTTCAGGGTCGATACACAGGGGCTGGGAATGCCAAACTGCCTCTGTCCACTTCTTGCCTTGAAAAAAGGAGGAGGAGGAGTTGGATTTACCGTATATCCCGCCTAGAGATGTAAAATTTCCAGAAATTTTGAAGCTCGGGAAAAAACCCGTTTTTTCTTCTGGAAAAAACAAGAAATTTTTGGGAAAACTGAAAAAAATGCTACATTAGCACTTTTTTTTTCTTTTCCAGATTGAAAGTCATTTGTTACTTTAGGAACATAAAATATGACTATGGACATTTTTACTTGGCATGAAGTTATCACAACTAGCATATTAAAATACAGTGTATCCAAACAATTATTACAAACAGGATAACCACCCACATGCAAAAACAAAACTGAAACCTTTTTCTTTTCTTGTGACAATAGCACCTTCCTAAAGGAAGAAATGCATCTTGTTCTTGCATTGGAGAGTTTGGTCTGTAACCTAGGACTTCCTTGTCCTCAGTGCACAGAAATTAGATCAATCTGATACCATACATATTTTTTAGAAATGATTTGGAAAATATTTAAACACCTTGTCTTAAAATATTTTATTCAACATGTTAAAATAAAATGTTCCTTAATCAATTTTTTTCTTTTCTTTTTTCAATTTTTCCAATTTTCCAGGAAAAAACAAAAAAGTATTCAGGAAAAAAAGGGGGGGACTTCGCCCCCCAAAAAAATTCCCGTTTTTTTCCCCCAGGCCCTCACATCTCTAATCCTGTCCTTCACTTGGACTCTCAGAGCAGTTTACAATCTCCTTCCCTTCCTCTCCCCACAACAGACACCCTGTGAGGCAGGTGGGGCTGAGATAGTCCTTTCAAGGACTGCTCTGGAGAGAACAGCTTGGAGAGAACTTGTGACTGACCCAAGGTCTCACCAGCAGCACGTGGAGAAGTGGGGGAATCAAACCCGGTTCTCCCAGATTAGAGACCATGACACCAAACTGGATGTCATGAGTCAGCTGAGACTTGACTGCACCTCACTCAAAACACGGTGGCCCAAAATTTGAGTTTACTGTGGTGGGCGTGGACCACTAGAAGATTCTTGATGACACACATTAAGGTATGGAATTCACTGCCAGAAAATGTGATGATGGTCAGAAGCTTAGTTTTGGGCGTTTTTTTAAAGCGATTAGAACTATCCTTTATGGACGTACTAATTAATGATTATTTGCTACGATAACGACATGCTTTAGAGGCTGCACACCTGAGCACCTGGTGCTAGGAACAGAATGGGAAGGATCACCGCCCTCCAAAACGACTTGCCTGGTTATGTCAGTTGGTCTATCACCTTCTGCACAAGACTCGTTAAGTGATTTACTGTAAAAACTAGACTGAATAAAAAGCGAAGGTGCAAACCTAGCAAAGAGGACCAACGAATTAAACTAGCAGAACGAACACACACACACTAACTACTCTTAAGACTCCAGCTACAACATCAGAAATTAAAGCTGGATTGAATCGCTTTAGGAAATTAAGAGGTGGCTTTGTGGGCCTCTCTAGGAAGACTTTCCATAGCCGTGGTGCCACCACCAAGAAGTCTGCAACTTCCCCAGGAGTTATCTGGACGGCCTCTGTTGAAAGCAAGACACTGGATTAGGTGGTCTGATCCGGCAGTGCCGTCCTTATATTCTACTCTATCGGGCCCTTTTATATGTTTCCTCTGAACTTTCCAGATAGGGTTGCCAAGTCCATCTTCCACCCCCAGCAGGGGAATTTGGGGCGTTCCTGGAGGGGGCGGGGCATCCCCGACGTGATGACGTCAGGTTGGGGACGTCCGCCGCCCCCCCCACCCACCCGTGCGCCGGATCTCCAGAAAAGGCAGTTCCCTGCACGTAAAGGAGCCAGCGTTTCCCTTGTAAATGCAGGAGCCGGCGTTTCCCCTTTAAGAGCAGCTGCGTTTCCCTTTTAAGAGCTCGAAGCTGGCATTTTCCTGCAAGCTTGCGGAGGAAACACGGGTTCCACACACTTAAAGGGAGAGAGATGGGTGGTTGTGGGTGTTGGGGGCGGGTAGAACCCCCCAAAAAACGGGGGACCCCTGGCAAACCGGGGGTGGGGGTTGGCAACCCTATTTCCAGAACTGACTGCCATCAAAGACGGGATGCCTAGCTGAGTGGATCACCACTATGAGTCAGGAGACGTGGTTCTATTTCTGACTTTGCTCTAATCTACGACAGCGTTCGGACTTCCCCTCTGTATTCTTCCATTCCCCCCTCCCGCCACACCTTCACAAAGCAGCTTACTAGGCAAGCTCCATTAGCATGTGTACACAGACACAACACAAAACTACCAGCAACCAGAGCCAGGGCATTTTCGGTGGTGGCTCCGGCCTGGTGGAACGAGATCCCAGAAGAGATCAGGGCCCTGCGGGACCTTTTGCAGTTCCGCAGGGCCTGCGAAATGGAGCTCTTCCGCCAGGCTTACGGAGCCGCTGCCACCATTGACCACCATCGAACTTTACTAACAACTAGCCGTCAAAAGATAGGAAGCCCTGTTGTCTCTGGAATTTATAATATCAGCCTGTGCCAACCGCCTGGAAGATACCCTAAATAGATCTAGGAGCCAGTTATCGGAGGAAAGAACTTACATAGTAGCCATCGTTGACTCAGTTACAACAACAACAACAAATTAGCACTTATTGTGTTATTGTTCATTAGTTTTAGCTTGGTTTAAATGTTTTCATAGAATCATAGAATGTTAGAGTTGGAAGGGAACTTGCAGGTCATCTAGTCCAACCCCCTGCACTCTGCAGGAGCATAGCCGAAAGAGAGCCCTACAACATACCCGAAAGATGGATGCCCAGCCTCCACTTGAAAACGTCCAGCGAAGGAGCATCCACCACCTCCCGAGGCAGTCCGTTCCACTGCTCAACTACTCTTACAGCTAGGAAGTTTCTCCTGATATCTAGCCGGTAACGACTCCCTTGTCATTTCCACCCATTAGTTCTAGTCTTGCAATCCGGAGCAAGAGAGAATAGATCTGCTCCATCTTCTACATGACAGCCCTTCAGATACTGGAAGACTGCAATCATGTCCACTCTAAGCCTTCTCTTTCCCAGGCTAAACAGATCCAACTCTTTCAGCCTTTCCTCATAAGACATGGACTTGTTTTAATTGCATATATATGCTGATTTTGTGTGAGCCGCCCTGAGCCGGCCTCAGCTGGGAGGGCGGGGTAAAAATTTGAGAAAATAAATAAACAAATAAATCAAGGAACCGAATGGCAAGAACGTCTTCCTGTGCTTCCCAAGTCTTCCATGTTTGAAGCTGTAAATAAGGGGATGAAGTTTGGGTTTTTTTGTTCTGCAACCACAGCTTCAAGTTATAAAATTAATAAAGGCTTTTACTAAAGCGGCTCATAAATCTGAATTTGCCTAAATGACCAATGTTCAAAAATAAAGTGTCCTTTTCATATGTAGCTGTTGGGGTGTTTTGTGTACTGTAAACCCAAAAGATCAGGAACATCCCATTTTAAGAGAAACATCTTGGATTACCATCTGGCTTTCGAACTCAGTGCCTCGAGAAACAACCGCTACAGTGCTCTCTCGCTCCATAAGGAGTGTATCCTTACATTCTGAAAAGCAAAGCTATAGCGCACATAAGGAGTGTATCCTTACATTCTCAAAAGCAAAGCTATATCGCACATATTTTTCAAATCCTACTTCTGTTTTCCCAGTGACTCTTCACAGAAGCAGCTTGGCGTTAAATAGCTTTCAGCAAGTTCTCCTAGGTACAAACATGAGAACTCTTGGTGGGTACATTCAAGACTGCTGGGCTATTTCTCTGTTCTCACTGAGTGCAGACTTAAGAGATGCTGTTAGCATCCATGGAGACAGATCAAGACGGGTAGCCGTGTTAGTCTTTCTGTAGCAGTAGAAAAGAGCAAGAATCCAGTAGCATAGAATCATAGAATGTTAGAGTTGGAAGGGATCTTAGAGGTCATCTAGTCCAACCCCCTGCACAATGCAGGAAATTCACAAATACCCCCCCCCACCCGCAGTGACTGCTGTTCCACGCTCATACCCTGCCTGCCACAAATTTCATTAGCCTTTAAGGTGCTACTGGACTCTTACTCTTTTCTACTGTTAGGATCCACACATTCTTTCTTTGTTTACGGTATTTATAGTCCGCCTTTCTCACAGGGATTACACACAGGGAGTCACTATAACTGACCAAACAGGTGTCAGCAAGCTGCCAATATCTTCTATTCCCTTTGCAGATGAATGAATGAATGAATTTATTATAGCACATAGCCAGCAATACCTTTGCAGATGTGCATACCTTTCTCTTCGTTCATGCGCATACCTTTCCCTATGGCTAATTACCGTTCTCTTGCAAGCTGCACTGCGTATCTCTCAAGGCCGCTGGAGGAGTCGCTTAGATAATTGCTTTGGCTTTAGACAGGCAGAGCCGTGGGAAGCTCGTACCTGTTTTGTTTTGGGGTAGCAGTTAGTTCCCAGGCCTAAGGGCGCGCGCGGGAACCACAGTAATTGGGTAATGCTCTTATGAATGTACTATATCTGTTTTGCGCATGGTCTACCCCCTCATTCCTAACAGTGTTCCTGTCCATGCATCTTCAGCTTCAATAAAGTAAAACCTTTCTGAAAGTGTGTGCTTCAATTGTCGCTGCGGGTCCTGACATTCTGTTAGGAATCTATCGTTCCCTATCTAAAGTGATATGAGCGACAGAGAGGGGAAACCCATTCCGCAGAAGGTGGAGGAGGAGGAGGAAGAGCCAGAGGAGGAAGAGGAAGACCCCCCGGTGACCACAGCCTCGGTGCCGGTGACTACTCAACCACCAGTATCCGTGCCAGTGGGGGGGGGGGCATTCCAAAGCAACTTTCGGGCCAACCGTTCCTGACTCCCTAGGGGCCTAGGTATCAACCTGGGGCCGGCAGCGGGGCCTGTGCCAGCTGGAGCCGGTTCCATCCCGATGCTACGAGAGAGACCTACTCGCACTTGGGAGGACCCTTGAGAGCAAGCCTCTATGACAGAGGGATGGCCGCGGCGGCGGGGCTACCCCCGTTGGGAGCCCAATTCGAGCCAGTCGCTCCTTCGTGGGTAACGGAACGATCGAAAGCCCGGAGTGGTCGGGCGTCCCCGGAAGAGGGACTGACAGAGCATGTAGAAGCAGCGGATCGAAATATCCAGCAACTACAGCAAACTTTGGAGGATCTGCTCCAAGCCATCCCTGATTTGGTCATCCGGACGATCGAGGAGGCGTTGGAAAGACGACCAGCTGCGCAAGTGGTACCTATACCCCAACCTAGACCTGGACCGGGGTTCCCTGGGCAGCCGGATGGCATGCCAGCCCTGAGACCTGCAGATGTCCCGGCACCAGTGCCGAGACCACCCAGTCCGCAGGCCCCGGTGATTCCACGACCAAAGGACCTGATTGAGGCTACATTCGATGGCAACCCTGATGAACTCTCCTACTTTGTGCTGCGTGTACAGAAGTTTGTGGATCGGTCAGGCCACCTCTTCCCAGATGACAGCAGTCACATGGACGTGGTGGCTGCCCGCCTCCAAGGGGCCGCGGCCGCATGTGGGGTTACACAACGCAAGGGGCCCTGAGCTCACGGACATGTATGTCTTTATGTGGGCACTGCGGGCTCAGTTTGAAGATCGGGATGCGGGGCCGAGGGCACGAGCGTACTTGCGCACGTTAAAGCAAAGGCGCAGAACGGTCCGAGAATATTCGGCGGAGTTCAAGCTGCACGTTGCAAAACTACCCAATTGGCCGGACAACGTCCTAGGTGAGATGCACCGGGTCGGCTTGAACGCAGAAATCCGGGAGACAGTACTAAGGTCGGTAGACCCGATCTCCCTGATGGCTTGGATGCAACAGGCGGAGAGTACCGAAAATCGTCTTCAAACCCTTCGCCTGGATATAGCAGCACCAGGGGGGAAAGCAACCCCGATCCCGCCCAAGGCTAAACCACCACGGCAGCCGGACGCCACATGGGAGCAACGGATGCGTCAAGGTTTGTGCCTGAAATGCAGGGAGAAGGGCCATTTCGCCGCTGACTGTGGCCAACCAGTACGACGGGAGAAAGGAGACGTGGGGAAAGGCCGCCTCGCCACCCCAGTGAAGAAACCAACGGGCAAGCCGAAATTTGCCAAGGCGGCGTTACAAGCTTAGATCATTGCTTTGGCTTTAGACTGCAGGCTGTGGAAGGTCAGTAGTTCATCAGTTTCTGTCAGAGCTCTCTCAGCCCGGTTTTGTACAGTCGGCAGAAACTCTGAAATAAATGCACTCCCAAAACCTGTGCTTTTCTGCACAGCAGTTTGCGTTCAAGTGTGAAGTTCTTGAAAATGACCAGTGGAGGCATGCAATGTGCCAAGACTCCAAGGATTTTCTCTGAAAGGGCCCTTTCCTTGGGGGGGGGGGGGGGGGGAAGGAACGCACACACTGCTCTCATAAGCAATGCTCCCCCTAAGCTGTGGAGTCTTCTGAGCAAAAATTCTACCTTGTGAGCTACTGGTATTAAAGTTGTGAGCGATTTGGCACAAGGCAGGAAATTCACAAATACCTCCCCCTGCACACCTGTACTGACTGCTGTTCCACGCCCAAAAAACTCCAGGATCTCTCGCCAAACTGGCCTGGAGAACAATTGCTGCCTGACCCCAAAGTGGCGATCAGCATTTCCCTGAGCATGTAGGAATGGGCTACAAGAACTAAGCACTGATGCAATACTCCCTCTAATCTGTGGAGTCTTGTGAGCCAAAATTCTACTCTATGAGCTACTGGCATTAAAGTTGTGAGCAAGCAATTTGGCCACTGCATAAATTAGTTTGCTCTGGAGCCATCCTTCCTGAGCGAAGGCAAAAATGTGTGAGCCGGAGGCTAAAAAACTGAGCTAGCTCACACTAACTCAGCTTAGAGGGAACATTGCTCATAGGAACATAAGAGAAGACAATGTTGGATCAGGCCAATGGCCCATCCGGTCCCACACTCTGTCACACAGTAGCCAAAAACAGCAGGGGCCACCAGGAGGTACAGCAGTGGGGCCAGGACACTAGAACCCCCCCCCAGCACAAAGAAGACAGGGCATCCCTTAGCCCCAGACTGAGAATTCCTATCTATACCTTGTGGCTAATAGTCACCTCTGCTCCATCTTGTCCTAGACAGCAGCTACCCTCCAGGTATGGAATGGAACAAACTCCAGTCATAACATTAATAGCTTTAATAATTAATAACCACTTGGATCTAACTTTTCCCCAATTATTTTTATAACTGAACCTTTCCTATCAAGAGCGTAACAGTGGATCTTTAACTGTAAGGGCTCGGAATACGGAGAAGCCCATTAAAGGAAACTAGACAAGCCTCTTGTCTTCATACCCCACCATACAGTTCCCCTTTCCCTTGGTGCCCAACAGAACAGCCTCAGACAGAGTAAGTTAACTTGCAAACCACACCAGCCTGTGTCACTGACTGCTCGCATCTCCATGTTCCTGAACAGCTTTCATTTTATTTTAAGAAAGAAGTGGACAGGATGGGAACTCTCTGGGGCAGGGACTTGCTTACATGCTGGAACAAGCAGAATTCTCATGAGAATTTATTTATTGAGCCGCTTATAAACCCTGGTCTGTTGGCCGGATTCGACTTCCTGAGTGACGGATGAGGTCATACTAACATTTGTGGGGATTTCAGAGCAGTATGTTTTGAGAATGTCTGTGGCAAGCTGGATCCTAAGCTTCTTTTTTTATATATATTCTTTTTTGCATTGCAGGGGGAAAAGGGGGAAAACCAAGCTCCGTGCTTCAGTGAGTCCTGTCATGCTTGAGAAATCTGATTGAAACTCAAGCTGAAAAGAAGGTAACCGGCACTTGTACTAGACACAGGCTTGGGTATTCGGGACAGAAGGCAGGATGTTTCGACCAAAGTTGTTGTTTACCCAACAGAAGCACCAAGGACAGGAAACACACCGTGCATCCAATTTTGAAAACGGAGAGCCTTTCTTTTTAAAAAAAGGGGGGGGGGAATTGTCAGATCTCTTTTCTCAGATCTCCCAAGAGCCAGCATGGGCACTGCAAGCCGTGGCTGGATGGCTTAGACTGAGCTGGCTGAAGCTGAAACCGGTGAAGACGGGGGTCCTGTGCCTGAGTCGGGGTGTGTGTGTGTTCAGGGGTAGGGATCTCACTCCCAACCTTTGGCGGGGCACCATTGGTGCCAGTGCCGGTGGTTAGGAGTCTGTGAGTGCTCCTGGATACCTCTTTGACAATGGAGGCCCAGGTAGCAGCCACTGCTAAGTCAGCCTTTTAACATCTTCGGCTGATTCGGCAGTTGGTTCCCTTCCTCGACAGCGATGACCTGGCTACACTGATCCATGTGATGGTCCCCTCGAGACTAGACTACCGTAACGCTCTCTACATGGGGCTGCCCTTGTCGCAAATCTGGAAGCTGCAGCTAGTGCAGAATGCCGCAGCCAGGCTTCTGATGGGTCTTTCTAGATGGGAGCACATCTGGCCTGCCCTGAAGGAACTGCACTGGCTGCCAATAGCATACCGAATTCGCTTCAAGGTGCTGGTACTCACCTTTAGAGCCCTATATGACCAGGGTCCGACATACTTGAGGGACCGCCTTTCCCCATATATACCCCAGAGAGCACTACGGTCGGGGTCACAACATCGATTGACCCTCCCAGGCCCGAAGGACGCCAGGCTCACTGCTACTAGGGCCAGGGCCTTTTCAGTGGCAGCTCCATACCGGTGGAATGAGCTCCCAGAAGAGATCAGGGCCCTGCGGGATCTTCTACAGTTCCGTAGGGCCTGCAAGACGGAGCTCTTCCACCAGGCTTTCAATTAGGAGCTGCCCTCACCACTACCACCAACATCTGTCGTTATGGGCCAGTCCCAGCTTTGAGACCGAGCCATACCATCGTGTGACGCCAGAAGATTACTTAGTCTGAAATTGTCTGCTGTTACAGCATATAGCTCGCCATCTTAATTAGTGATGGAATGTTTAGTACCACTAGCACTTTATGATTACCTGAATGTTTTTAAAATGTTTTAAATGTTTTTATGTGGATTTTATGGTACCTTGTACCGATTACTTGTAAGCCGCCCTGAACCTGTTCGTGGGGAGGGCAGGATACAAATGGAACGAATAAATAAATAAATAAATAGTTAAGTGTCAGGCTAGGATCGGAGAGACCCAGATTCGAATCTCCACTCTGCCATGGAAGGTCGCTGGGCGCCCTTGGGCCAGTCACACACACTCAGCCTAACCTACCTCATAGGGTTGTTGTGAGGATAAAATGGAGGAGAGGAGAATGATATAACACGGTATAAATG